TTTTAAAGCCCTTCATAACCTGTTCCGTTCTTACCTTTCCAACCTTCTTACACCTTTCTCCCCCATCAAGTACTATGCCATCCAGTGACACTTGTCTCCTTGTACACTTGACACTCCATTTCTCTAGTGTGCGTTTTCACTGACTGTCCCCTATACCTGGAATCCTCTGTCTACCTCTCCCTCTTCGTGGCTTCGCTGACTTCAGGTTTCAGCTAAGCTGCAACCTTCTTCAAGAAGCCTTTCAGGGGCAGCCAGGTGGCGCAGTGGGTAGACCACTAGCCCTGGAGTCAGGAGGACCTGAGTTCAAATGTGACCTCAGACCAAACACTTGACACATCCTAGCTGTGTGACCCTGGGCAAGTCACTTAACCCCAACTGGCCTAAAAAGAAGAAGGCCTTTCCTTGCTCCTCTTCAATTTTAGTGACTTCCTTCTGAGATTATTTTTAATTTATCCTCTGTATACCTTGCTCATACTTAATTGTTTGTATATTGTCTCCCTCATTAGACTGTGAGTTTCTTGAAAGCAGGGACAGTTTTTTGTTTTTCTTTTTGCCTTTCTTAATATCACAAGCACTTAGCACATAGTAGGCACTTAATAAATACTTGTTCACTTGACTTCACTAGTCCTAGCTACAAAAATAAAACATAGAACATGATCTAGAGAAATATATGTCCCTGTTGTTGTTTAGTTGTTTTCAGTCCTGTCCGACTCTCTGTGATCCCTTTTAAGGTTTTCTTGATAAAGGTACTGGAGTGGTTTGCCATTTCCTTCTCTAGCTCATTTTATTTTATTTTATTGTTTTTGTTTTTGGTTTTTTTTGGTTGGGCAATGGGGGTTAAGTGACTTGCCCAGGGTCACACAGCTAGTAAGTGTTATGTGTCTGAGGCTGGATTTGAACTCAGGTCCTCCTGAATCCAGGGCTGGTGCTCTATCCACTGTGCCACCTAGCTGCCCCCTAGCTCATTTTACAAATAAGGAAACTGAGGCAAACAGGCTTAAGTGACTTGCTCAGGCTCACACAGCTAGTAAGTGTTTGATGCAGGATTTGAATTCAGGTCTTCCTGATTCCAGGTCCAGTACTCTATCCACTGTGCCACCCAGCTGCCCTATACATGTATCTAGGTGGCTTAGATACCTTTCTCATTTATCTTCAATTGTTATAGAATCATAGGTCCAGATTCAGTGTTGAATCACTTTTTTTGTTCTCTCAATTTAAAATTCACCCCTTCTTTCTCATTTTTTGTTTCTCCTCTGGTCAGGTTTGGTACACAGAGGCTAAGGAGTCTTACAAAATTAGGATTCATGTGCTATGTTAATAATGGCATTGAAGCCACAGCCAATAATGGAACCATATGTCAATTCTCAAACTTTCTATGAGTGACTGGGCTCTGTCCTTTGATTTCAGGTCATAGGAAATTTAATTTTTCATCACATTCTTGGTTACCATTGGCTCAGGAAAGAGGACATTTTACTGTAATTGCATCTGGCATATACACTTTAGGAATCTGTGACAAAGTTTTGTTCTATTTATTAATCTATGTGTTTTACTTTAAACAATAACAGAAATATTTAAACCTACACGTAGTATAGCTATTTAAACTTTTTAAGGTGACCTTCAACATGCAAATGTCTTTATCAAAGTAATGGGTTATCTCCTCCCTTTGCCTCTTCTTTCCTTGTCTTTGTTTATTCAGCTTTGTATTTGTAGATGTATTGTTATTTGGTTGTTTCAATCATGTCTAATTCTTTATAACCCCTTTTGGGATTTTCTTGGCAAAGATCCTGGAGCAGTTTGCCATTACCTTCTTCAGTTCATTTTACAGATGAGGAAACTGAGGCAAACTGGGTTAAGTGACTAGCCTGGGGTCACCCAGATAGTAAATATCTGAGGCCGAATTTGAATTCAAGTCTTCCTGATTCCAAGTATGGCACTCTATCTGCTGCACCACCTAGAAGCCCCATTTGTATGTCTATTTTTTGTCCTTTTATATAGTTGTGGTCTGTGCATATTGATCTTCTGGCTCTTTCTTCATTTCATGTTATTTCATGTGCCTTTTCACATTTTCTTTCTGTTGGTGAATAAGGGATAGTGAGGCACATTAGATCCAGTGTCAGAAAACCTGGGTCCAAATCCTACCTCTGGTACCTGCTATATGTGTAGCCTTGGGCAAATCATTTAATGTCTTTAAATGGACCTCAATTTCCTCATCTACAAAATAAGGAGGTTGGATGACATGGACTCCAAGGTTCCTTTTAACTCTGGCTTTTTGATCTAGTGCGTTGTACCAGTGCTCTCCCAAGCAGAGTAAGTACCTCAGAGGGAGTAGGAGATGATGCAGGGATCTCCCTCTTGTAGGACCAACCAATCAGAAGATGGGTCATAATCCAGCTCCCTGTGATTTCCAGCTGCAGGACGCATATCAAACATAATTCTGTCTTCTCCTTTTCTAGAGTCCTCACATTGCTCAAAGAGGTTGTGGCAGCAGGGTGCATGTTTGTCAAGAGAATCTTTACAACATGATTGAGTAGTGGCTGTGTCTTGGTTATAACTGCCCCAAAGAGCTGATTAAAAGCTGATTCAGGGAGGGAGACCTCGATGACTGTTGTCACACCAATACAGATTTTCTGCAGGTGTTGCTGTGACTATTATAGCCGCCACCACAAACTGAGGACTATGGGCTTCACTTTGGAGGGAGCTCTCCACTGGGCTCTGAGGAGCAGTGACTATTGTCAGCACTTCTCTCCATCACAGGAGTTACCATCCCAGAAAATGCCACCATGCTCAGGTGATCTTCTTTCCATCTTTGTCTGCATCTCTTCCTCTGTAATTAGCCATCATAATAGCCGCCATTTGTAGTGCTTACTGTGAGCCAGGCACCCAGAGAAACGGCTTTTTCACTTATCATCTCATTTGATCTTCGCCACAACCTTAGGCGATAGGAACTATAATCATTTTACAGATGAGGAAACTGAGGCAAACAGAGATTTGGCATTTAAAGTCCTTCACAGCCTGGCTCTTTCCCTATCTTTCTAGTCTTCTTATATTTTACTCCTTCTGTGGACTCTGCTTCATTAATACTGGCTTTTTTGCTGTTCCTTGTATATAACACTCTACCTCCCTACTCCCCTGCTTTGTACTGACTGTCTTTCATGCTTAGAAGGCTCTGCCCTCTTACCCATCCCTCCCACTCCACTGGTTTCACTGGCTTCCTTTGAGAAAGCTTAGATCCAGCCTTTTGCAGGAGGTCTCTCCCAATCCCCACCCCCTGCCTTTTGCATTCCCATTGAGATCACCTTCTATTCATAACACATATGTCTTCTATATACAGTTATTTGCATGTTGTTTCCCCCACTGAAATCTAAGTTGTTTGAGAGCAGGGACTGTGTTTGTCTTTCTTTGTATCCTTAGTGCTTAGCATAGTGACTGGAATGTTGCAAGCCTTAATAAATGCTTGTTGACTGAAAAACTAAGTGACCATTCACCTTACAAAACACATTTAACACCTGTGTTCCCTTTGGGAGCTCAAAAGATGAAAAAAGACAAAAGGAATGGATTAACTTTGGTATGGGCAGCTAGGTGGTACAGTGGATAGTGTGCTGGCCCTACAGTCAGGGGGACCTGAATAGAATCCTGCCTTATTAGGTGTGTGATCCTGGGCAAGTCACATAATCCCATTTGCCTCAATTTTCTCATCTGTAAAATGAGCTAGAGAAGGAGATGGCAAACCAGTCCAGTATCTCTGCCAAGAAAACCCCAAATGGGGTCAAGGAGAGTCAGACACAACTGAAATGAGTCAACAACAACACTGGTATATTGTCATGACCTGTTATCAGTTGTAGAATCGCTTTCTCCAGAGAACTCTACAAGTGGTATTATCCTATCTCTTCTGGAGTGGGTTAGGGAAACTTGGCAGATGGACAAGATAAAGCTCATTTGGTCCCATTTAAGGCTGAGGATTCTCAAATTGTAGACAGAACTCTGGATTAACTCATCCATGAAGGTTGGCACTGACAAATGTACCATTTTATAGGGCTAATGGGTAACTTAGAGCTGTTGTTTAAAGTTGAGCAGGAAGATTAGGAAAGGCAGGTGTATGTATGGTGAGAGGAGAGGAAACTTACAAAAAAAAAACCCAAGCTAATTGTGAATGTCTTAAAATGCCATTTATTAAGCTGATAGAGAACAATATGCTTAGTATGACTGACTGTTTCCCTGGCAATATTATGACCATTGGACAGGAAAACAATAAAACTGCAGTAATACTATAGATGCAGTTGTAGTGTTTGGGGCCTTGAGGCAATCAACCCAGTGTTGCAAATAGGGAATATCTAGAGGACCTCATTAGGGAGACAGTATGGGCCTTATTTCACTCTGCATCAGTTCATATAAGTCTTTCCATGTCTCTTTGAAATTATGTATTTCCTCATTTCTTACAGCACAATAGAATTCCATTCTAATCATATACCACAACATGTTCAGCCAGTTGATGGGAATAGCCTTAGTTTCCAGTTTTTTGCCATCACACAAAAAAATAGCTGTTATACATATTTTTACACATAAAAGGCCTTTTTCTCTTTCTTTGATTTCTTTTGGGTATAGGCCTAGCAGTGGTCTAGCTGCTTAGTCTTGTCTAGACAGTCTTCCTGAATACTGCATGCCAAATACATCTTAGTTTATTGACTAATTGCTACGATTAGAATTGAAATACAAGAAAGAAGAGAAAAGTTAATGCCAGTCAGGGAGAGCAGAGAAGCTTTTGGTCATTGCTGAAGAGGTCTGGAAGAAGCGATGCAGAGCCTAGGTTAAAGAGTAAGAATCAGTGAGGCCTGGTACAGATCAGCTTGAGCAGTGACTCCAGAGTGCACTGTGTAGGAGAGTGGATACCTGCTAGAGGCTAGGGGACAAAGTCCTGTAATAAATTACCCTGGCAGAGAGGACTTCAGCCATTTCCTCCTTCCTCTCTTTCATTTCTCCCTTCTCCACCACCAGGCATTAAGAGAAAAAATCCTTTAGCATCAAATATCCACTGCCCTGGACTTTTTCTTCCATTCTTTCAGAGGTGTGGGGGCGAAGAAAAAGAGAGACCCAGCATCGCCAGGTAGAAGTCACGGCCTGCCTTTCTGACAGGTAAGAGATGACTTGCGAGTGGGGTTTCCACCTTCTGAGTGCCCTCCGGTTTTCTGCTTGTGAGGTCAAACATAACGGAGGGAGAGAGAAGGGAGTCCCCAGTGTGGAAGGCCATGATTTGGTATCAGAGTCAGATCCATGGGCCCAGAGGTAACAGAATTGTGGGAAAAGCTGTGGGGATGAGTCCACTGGACTAAAGATGAAACATACCACTCGCCTATTGCCAGACAGATGTGCAGAGAGAGACATACATTTTAAAGCACAGCTAGTGTGGGAATTTGTTTTGCTGAATTAATGCTTATGATAAGGGTTCTGTTTTTCAGTAATATGGCTGTAAGAGTTCTCATTTTGCAAATGGGGAAACTGAGGCCCCAGGAAAAGTGATTTGCTGAAGGTGACATAACTAGTATGTGACATAACCAAATCAACTACTCTAGTTTTGGGTCCTGAGTTGCATTTTTCGATTGCATTGCTTCTCTAAGTAAGGAGGCAGTTTGCGGCAGCTAGGTAACACAGTGGATAGAACACTTGGGCTTAGAATCAGGAAGACCTGTGTTCAAATCTGGCCTCAGACACTAGCTGTGTGAGCCTGGGCAGGTCACTTAACCTCTGTCTGCCTCAGTTTCCTCATCTGCAACATGCAGATAATAGCACCTATATCACAGGGTTTTGTGAGGATCAGATGAAACATTTGTAAAGTGCTTGGCAAAGGACTGGGCGGCTAGGTGGTAAAGTGGATAGAGTGCTTGGTCTGCAGTTAGGAAGATTTATCTTCATGAGTTCAGATCTGACCTCAGATACCTACTAGCTATGTGACCCTGGGTAAGTCATTCAACCCCATTTGCCTCAGTGTCCTCATCTGTAAAATGAACTGGAGAAGAGAGTGCAAACCATTCCAGTATCTTTGCCAAGGAAATCCCAAATGGGGTCATGAAGTGTCAGACATGACTGAAAAACTACTGATCTAAAACAAAACAACCAAGTGCAAGGCACTTGGTATATAGTGGGTACTAATAAATTCTTTCCCCACCATCTATCTACTAATCAAAATTTATTTGTGTAGGGCATAAGCATGGCATTGTGCTAGTCAGTGCATGGGATCCCAACAAACATGTGATGAGTTCCTTAGCCTTAAAGATCTTATAGTGTGATAAGAGAAATAAGACATGCCCAATGAAAAGTTAACTAACAAAGTAAGATAACAAGTGCCAGATCAGTGGTCCATAGAATAAGTCCAGGAAGAGTAGATGGGAGACAGTGTTCCAGATGGAGAATGGTATGAGTTAAGGCATAGGAGCAGGAAAAACCAAGAGCTGGGGCACAGTGAGAAAAACAGCCTGCCCAGGAGTATAATGTTTGCATGGACAAGTGGACAGTAAGTTCGAAAGGTTGGGGGCCATTTTGTGAAGGTTCATGAATGCCAAACTAAGGAGTTTAAACTTTGTCTCAAGGCAATAAGGAGCTATTGAAAGTTTATGGGCAGGAGAGTAATATGATGAAAATGATATCCCAGAAATATTCAACTCTAAGTGATGTGAGTCAGTCAGTAAGTATTTATTAAGCACTTAATATGTGCCAGCCACTGTGCTAAGCACTGAGAATATAAAGAGAAGCAGGCAGTCCTTGGCCTCAAAGAAATTTGGGGGATGGGGTGGGTAGTGGAGGAGGTGATAACATGTGAAAGGAAGCTGAAAAGCTGGAGTGGGGGAGGGGTGAGGGGAAGAAGGTACCTGGTGGGCAGGGTCATGGTAGAGGAAGTTTTATGGGAATGAGATAGCAGTACAGCTTGTAGAGGGGATAAAGACATCTTTGGCTTGGGCCTTCTCCTTGTATTGGAGGTTCTGTGGGGAATCAGGCAATCAGAAACTGAGGTCTCAGGAAAACTAAAAGGTGAGAAAATGTGAGAAATTGTCCAGGGGTGAAGTGAGCTTCCAGGGTAACGAGGTTTCTACAGCAGGGTAGAGAAAGTCTTGTGGAGATGTGACATATAAAAAGTTTGAGAGATATAGTTTTGGATAATTAATCATTTTATTAACAATGCTGTGGATAATTAATAAATTAAAAATTAAAAATGTGGATAATTAATAAAAGGGGTCAGTGGCACTCTCAACTCCTCATGGAATACTCTCAGTGCTTAAGAGTGGGTGTTCCCTGGGGCAGTTAGGTGGTGCAGTCGATACAGCACCGGCCCTGGAGTCAGGAGGACCTGAGTTCAAATCCGACCTCAGACCAAACACTTGTCACTTACTAGCTGTATGACCCTGGGCAAGTCACTTAACCCCAATTGCCTAAAAATAAAAATAAATAAATGAATAAAAGAGTGGGTGTTCCTGAGGGTGGCAATCAACTCTGATTGGTTAACAATTAATGAGAAAAATTATAATGAGAGGTGGACTTATTCTAATGAGGGGCTAGGTGTGACTTTGATTATGTTATTTACTTCCAGACCACAACACATCACACCACCTTGGGCAATCTAGACAAAGGATTTACCCCCTCAGAGCCCGAGTACAACATAATGGATTAGAATTCACCTTAGATTAAATTCTTTTAAGATTCTCTAATTGGGTGAGATCTCCCACCCAGGATCAAAAAACGTGGACCAGGGGATGTGGGCAACGGTATTCATCAACAAAGTTCTTCAGAGACTGAACAACCTAAGGATTCTGAAAAAACCCTGGTCCAAATCCATTAACTGAGTATTAATACAACAGAAAAATAATCATTTGTCTCAGAGATAAGTAGCCTGGACTGGAGGCAGGGAGACCAGTGAGGAGGCCAAGTCCAAGTATAAACTGACAGTGGCCTCCACTGGGGTAGTGGCTGCAACAATAGAAAGGAAGGTGGGGAGGGAGGAGAGTAGTGGAGTGTAGGAGGAGGAATGCTGGTCTGGGACCAGAGAACATGGGTTCAAATCACAATTCTGTGACTTGCTAGTCCACTTGACCGCTCTGGGCTTTAGTTTCTTCTTCTGTGAGGTGAGGATGTTAGACCAGCAAATTTCTACATTTATAATCCTGGAATGGTTGTGAGAGATATCATGGAGAAAGAATGAACAAGTGTTGGTGATTAATTTGGAAGAGATGAGTAAAAGACTAAGATTTTAAGCCCAAGTAATTATGTGACTTCAGTTGGTTCCCAGGTCTTCTACTGACTGCCTGTGTGACTTTGGGCAAGTCACTTAATTTTATGGGCCTCAGTTTCCCCATCTATAAAATGAAGGTGTATGACTAAGTAGTCTCTAAGGTTCCTTCTAACTTGAAATCTAATGCAGCTGTCTCCAAATGACAAGAGTAAAACAATTTCTACTTCACAGCATAGAATCTGAGTAGTTTCCCATAGTTGGGGGTTAAGGGGAAGGCAGTGGTGATGATGGAAGAGGAATTTACTTACTTGTTTCTTTACTTAAAAAGAACAGATAGGGAAATACTTATAATAATAACAAAATGTATTTGATATTTGAATGTTAATCTACAGACATTGCCATCTCAAATATGATTCTCAAGTAATTTTAACAGAGATAAAGGAAAATCTAAATAATTGTAAGGATAGCAATGAACATGTTTAGGTTGAGCCAGAATAAAAAGAACATATATATACATATATATATATATATATGTATATATATATGTATATATATATGTATATATATATATATACACACACACACACATATACATATATATGTATATATATGTATGTATATATATGTATATATGTGTGTGTGTGTATATATGTGTGTGTGTATATATCTATATCTATATCTATATCTATATCTATATCTATATCTATATCTATATCTATATCTATATCTTTTTGTGTGTGTGTGAGGCGATCGGGGTAAAGTGACTTGCCCAGGGTTACATAGCTAGTAAGAGTTAAGTGTCTGAGGCTGGACTTGAACTCAGGTCCCCCTGACTCCAAGGCCAGAGCTCTATTCACTGTGCCACCTCACTGCTCCAATATATTTTGAATTAATGTAGTATAATTAGTGCTATGCCAAACTAAGTATCTGTTTTGAAGCTAATATATTATTTAATTTATATAATATAATAATAATAGATTTTACTTCATAGATAATTATATTGTGACAATAAAATGTATGTGGAAAACAAATGAGCAAGAATATTGAAGAGAACTGTGAGGGAAAAAATAAAACTAATTTGAGGCAGCTGCACGGCTAGATCTCAAATTATATTGCCAAGCAATAATTATCAAAACTGTGTAATAGAAATGTACTCTGTTTCTATGATATCATATATAATATAACTATATAACAGAAAAATACATCAGTGGTATATCAATGGTGTAGAATAGAAAATCCAATATACAAATACATTGCTATTTATTTAATAACACTGGGGAAAGGAATTTGATAACAACTGTTGGGAAACTGAATAGCAGCACAACAGGTAATATATTGACATAATCGTTTGGGCTTTAGTTGGACTAGATGGCTTCTAGTCCAACTCTCCATATGATCCTGAATATGAAGTACCTGTTTTATGGTGGGAGGGCTGCAAAGATGAACCATCAGCCCTTAAATAGCTTACTAGCACTTAGCAGATTCTCTAATCCAAAGAATCCCTTGGGAATAATAGAGACTTCCCACTCCAAGTTGTTCTGGAGTTCTGTGTAAGTGTGGAAAAAAGAGGGATTTTCTCATCTAGTTTGGAATGGCCAGAGCCACTCAGAGCTGCCAAGTACTCACTAAATGTGTTGAATTGAAAGTCCTGGCCTTTGACAAAATTGTGAAGTGACTGGTCTTTGGCATCCTCGCCCTTTGTAATGCCCCCCAAATCTCCTACTTCAGAGACCCGTTGTCCTAGGTCTGCCCTTCTTGCTTCTGGTGCGTCATGAAGCCCCATCTACCCAGATCTTGTCTCTGCCCATGGCTTCCCTCCATTGCAACCTTCCTTTCTTGCATCTTACCTCTTCAGGGCCCAAACTAACTAGATAATGTGACAAACAAAGCTCACGGAAGAGCCCAATTCTAATAT